CATAGATAAAACAAATAAAAATCAGAAAATAACGGGAGGGAGAGATGAAAGAAATGGGAAATAGCGAGGAAAAAATTAAGGCAAGTTGATAAGTTGAAAAAAAATAAAGATGACGAGTGACTAAGGATAAGAGAGAGAGAGAGAGAGAGAGAGAGAGAGAGAGAGAGAGAAATAGTTTCAAATAAATAGATATAAAAGAATGAAGAAGACAGAAAAGAGCACAAAGATTATTAATAGACAAAGAATAGATGGAGGTAGATAAATAGTTGGAGAGAGAGAGGGGGGGGGAGGGAAATGGTTACATATAAGAAATAATTGTAAATAGATAACAAAGAGAAACGGAGAAAATGAGAGAAAGAGAGATGGTTTAATAGACGGATAGATAAATAGGTGGACAAAATGAATCAATAGATAGAAATAAATTAAAATTGCAAATCGACAAGAAAAGAAAACATTGAGAGAGAGAGAGAGAGAGAGAGAGAGAGAGAGAGAGAGAGAGAGAGAAAGAGGGATTGGTTACATTGACAGATGGGCAAATAAGAAGATGGGATCGATAAATAGAAATAAATTGTAGATAACAAAGAGAAACGGATAAAATGAAAGAAAGAGAGATGGTTTAATAGATGGATAAATACGTGGGCAAGTTGAATCAATAAATGAAAATCAATTCAAATTGCAAATTGAGAAGAAAAAGCATAATGTGAGAGAGAAAGAGGTCATATAGACAGATGGACATATATGAGGTTGGGATCGATATGAAGAAACAAATTGTAAATAGATTACAAAGAGAAACGGAGAAAATGAGAGAAAGAGGGATGGTTGAATAGATAACAGATAGTTAAAAAGGAGATATAAAATCAATAAATGAAAAACAATGTAAATTGTATGTACATAAGAAAAAGAAATAAAGAAAGAGTGAGAGAGATAAATAGAGAAATTGACCATAATTAATTAGTTCATAGAAAACAGAACTATGTAAAGAGCACAAGAAGAACCAGGCGAGAGAGTGAATAATAAAAGCGACAAATAAAAATAGAGAACTTTTTTCTGTGCCCTCTACATTATTTTGTAAACTTTTCATAGTCGATGAAAATGTATTGATATTTCGCCATTGTACTGTTTAATGGATCTCACTCAGACAAATCGAAATTAACAGGATTTAGTCTAGACAAATATTTATTTGCCCATCCACCCAAAAATTCTAATTTGACGATAGAACATCATAAGATTTTGACCACTTTCCCCAAAAACACAAATCTTCTCAGAAAGTTCGTAAAAAATTACCGATGTTTATTTTATTTGAATTTTCTTCACATACTGTATTATCCTATTTGCCTAAAATTGCAGGAAAGATTCAAAATTTGTAAATTTGACTTTCCCACGAAATATGGGCGAGCTTGTAACACTCAAAATAAAACGATTTTTTTTTTAAGAGAAATTTTTTGTCCATAAATGCTGATAAAATTAGTAATAAGCCTTTAACCTTTTTTTTTTTAAAATCAGCTATAAGGCTAAATTCTTGATCATCATCATCCTTCAAACAGTCATCTTTTTTAGCTCGAATAACAAACATTTATTTATTTTTTATATATTTATTTTTTTCGGTTAACCTTTATTTTTCCCATAAAGTTGGCCGTTAACAAGTACAACCCATCTCCCACGCACATCAACGGCTTATTTCACCTTCCACATGTCTAAACCTCGCAGCGGTTCCCATTGACGTTTGGAATAAAATTATAGCGGGTGTCAGCCCGGATCGGAACGTCCGATATACATCTGCCCGAATAAGAACACGGGACAATGTCCACCCCGGTCCGCAAAGGATTATCCTGGACGGGAAGAGGAGGAAATCCATTCTCCCTGGACTTTTCATTGTCCTCTAACGAGTCTTCCTGCGGGGGTGTCGCTCTTGGCCCACAATGCTCACCACCACCGTCAACATTGTAACGTTCGGAAAAACTTTTGTTCGCCCTCGGGGAAATTGGTCACCATTTACCACTGTGTGAAATTGGACCACCGCCTGAAATCCAACTGCTCATCGGATTACAATAAACGGACTCTTTTGCTAATTCACTATTTGGCCCCTTTTCTTATTTTACTTTTGCCATCTTGATCTTTCCTCTTTATTTACCTAGGATGTGGTAGTAGTTTTAAAAATGTCAATATTAAATATCTTATATAATTAAAGTTTTTAGTTGGTTATAAAGTTTTACTACAACAAACCATTAGTAATTGTTTGAGTAGTAGTACCTAATTATTTGTATTGTGATTTTTCAAATCATCAAAAAATTTGGTTCTTCTTATAATGAATTAATTATAGTTTTTCGTTAAATTCAATTTGTTTAATTGGTTTTTAGCTTTGAAATAATCAAAAGGCAAAAATCAATAAATTACAGGTCCTTTAGCTGACCATTAGGGATGAAGGGATGGGCACGTGGAGGCTTTGATTTTTTTTGACCGTCGGTAAAGTTGTTATTAAAATGATTAGTGTTTCCCTCGCCGTCATATGGCACACCTGAGAGGCCGATTTATCCGATCTATCCCCTTTTTCGCTCTCCGCAAAATAATTTATCTTCCCGGCACTGAGCCGAATGAATCACCCTGATGAAGGTTTTTTGGGCGTGATTCCGTCCGGTCGACTTATACGAAATTTGTTCCTAGGGCTTTTGTATCGGATTTGGCACACAGGTGCTACCGATCGGACAAATTAGACGCCGTCAATCAGCGAATTCTTGGAAAAGGGTGGCTCTGTCTCTCAAAACGCTGATCCGTCCCATGCCCAATCACGGAAGAGAGGGCTTTCTAATTGGAAGACGTTCGCTTCCAATTTTCAGAGGCGACAATAAAATTAGAGACAGTTATAACCAACAGTTAATGCCGGTAGACATTTTAGAAAATGTCTCTATACGGGATAGGGGCAACGTCTACAGCCCATCCCACCCTCGATAATATACAACCTATTTTTACCATTGTCAAACTAAAACTAATAACAGCTTGGAAAAGACTTGTACAGACTTTTTAAAATATATTTATAGCGAACTATTAATTTCAAATTCAGTAAAAGGAGAATGGAAAAACCGCTGAATTCGTAAAATAGAAATAACCCTGCCAAGGAGGATCGAAAAGAGTAGCCATACCGATATGACTAGGTTGTAGGTCATACAAGAATAACACACGGACACCTTCTGGCCAGAAATCGACAGTAAATTTGCCCATTTTGCAAAGATGGACTAACGGTCGAGCACCTTTTCAATTGTAGAAGGCTTGACGTACTAGACTGTTTTGGCATATCATCGGACCTAGTCTTGGGCAGCGGGGACAGATCGCCGTTCAGGTACGTAAGGGCTATAGCGATTTTCCAATGTATTCAGGGTGTTACAGGGTTAAATGTCAATACTGCCATGGTAGATTAATTATATAAAACTTAATTCAGTGCCACCGGAACGAGGTTTCTATCTTGACTCTTTCCTGAGATGACATTTTTGTGATTTTAGTCTAAAATCACATTTTTTCACATAAAATCCTCATTGCACAACATTAGCGTCATTAAAATACAAATCTGGGTTTAATTTCGCAAATTACATTAAATTTTCCACATTTTCGGTGAAAAAAGCCTCGCTTCCGAATACATAGTAGCACAAATTAACAAATGGCAAAAGCAATGTTTTTTAGAAATATTCAATTGTGGTTCATGCATTGACTTTTCCATCAAAATGTTCGAGGATTTTACCCAAAATTGCCTTATTTCATAAGTGTTCATAAGGACATACCCTTTTTTTTATCTTTTTTAGAAAATTTTATTAGGTTTCGTAGTCCGCTTGACCAAATAAATTCTTTTCGATTAATTAAGGTTTTTGGTTGCGATAAAAAAGTCACCTGAGCTATCATGACTTCGATCCTCTCGGACACTAACGTCCTATCTCAACCCCACCTTTTGAATTGAAAAACGGCAAAAAAGAGGGAAAATTAAAAAAGGTGGGTTTGAGATGGGAAGTTAGTGTCCGAGTGGATCGAGGTTACGATAGCTCAAGTGGTAGAGCATCGGCGTATCTAGCCGAAGATCGTGGGTTCGAATCCTGCTCGTGACGCTGACTTTTTTGTCTCAACTAAAAACCTTAATTAATTGAAAGATATTAATTGGTCAAGCGGACCACAAAACTAGTGAATTTAATGAGTTTTATACACTGTTTTTACCTAATATATTCGTTCTATTAGTTCTATTATTGCGTTTTGACTGTTTTGAGGATACTGCCATGATTGAACTATTATTAATTATTATTAAATTAATAAATTATTATATTATTTATTATTTTTAGTAAATTGAAATTGCACACAACGTAGAAAAATGGTTTTTATTTTTCCATACTTTTTCTAAATTTAATTTTCATGAAAACGCCATGCATATTTTTAATCGAAAAAAAATGAATTTATACAATGCTAGAAATTCATTTTTTTCACATCCTACATGTATTTGTAAAATTTAAACGTTGTTTATAAATCCCAGGCCCTGAAGATGATCTCAATAAAGATCGAAACGTTGGCACGATAAAGAAAATATTTTTCTAAAACCTTCTCACTATCTCCAAATAATCATTAACATAAATTTGTATAGTATACGATCTTTTATAGGTAACAAATAAATTGAAATCTTCAGCGGCTTTAAATATTTTTATTCAAAAATGTCTTAAAATATCGACAATTTTGTAAGAAAAATTTCAGTTTTTTCGACGTAATTCATTGTCAACTAAGGTTTTAGCCAGTCGAATATTTTTAAACAATATTACATTGGGCACCACAAGGGACTATTAATTATTGGTAAACAATCAATAGAATTAATTTATTTACCATCTTTGAAATGTGTTCGTTTGATAAAACGGTATCAGTCAAAATAACGTACTAATGTATTATAATTGTTGAGATATATCTATATAATAATATATTCTAGATTAAGGAAATAAACAGTTCCAATTTTACATGTTTAGAAGACGACAAAAATGCAATGTATTTATTGAATCAATTTTTAAAAATATTTTCTTGTTTCAACGCGTCCTATTCGATCCCAGTCAAAACCGTCTCTAATACCTTTATCATTAAACGATATCATTCTTTCTTCTCCACATTTTCCTTCGATCCTCCAGGGGCCGACAGCGCAGAGCTCTCCGTCGTCGCGCCTTTGTCGAAAATCGCTTTCCGGTTCACCAAACGGTCGAAAGCCTCGTTTAGCTCCTCTCTCGCTTTCCTTAATCTGTTTACATATGAAATGTTGAAATTGATTTCTTCCCCGGTCACCGTACGATTTGAACTCTGAAACGAGTTTCACTTTTCAAATAGAAACAAGCAAGCTTAAAACACTGACATTTTATTTCGGATGGCGGAATTTCGGGCGTTTCAAGCATCATGAAACATTCTAATCCGTTCTTGTTTACATTTTAAGACGTATAAAAATGGAACATTATGTAAACTATACTTCGATTAACACATTAACCCAGACAAGAGAAAATTTATTATTTAGAAAAATTTAACCCTTTATTTTTTCATTGTTTTGTTTCAATCCATTAAAAGGGAGATAAATAACGATGAAATCAGCACAACCTCTTCCACCGTTTAATTTAAATGTACAACTCTAGTGTATTTACTGAGGCCAAATTTACGTCATTTGATGTAGTTTATAGCATTCTACAATCAATGTAAAATTTCATGTAGATCAGTAAAGGCTTTGGAATTGCAGGCGTTTTGGCACGAAATGCGAAAAATTTTGGGGAAACAAATATTTTTTTTATTTCCTCAAAAATATTTTCCAAGGGTTTGTTGGGGCGCAGGGTTATTTTTTTTGTCATCATTTATTTTATCAGTAGATTTTTTGTAATATTACAGATTTTCCAATTACAAAAAAAAATCGCACCCGTTTTGACATGCAAGGCAACAAATTTTGGGTAAACAACTTTTTTTAAAATATGTATCTAGGGATTTGTTGGGATGCAGGGATTTATTTATTTTTTTATATATTTTTTTAATTAATTTATTTTTTGCAAGAAACAAAGTTAACATTCCTTTTTAGCGCCCCCAATAAAACCCTAAATACAAATTTTTGTTGGAAGAAGAAATTCTAAAATTGTTCGCCTTCCAAATTTCTTCTTTTTTAACCGAAAATTTAAAAAAATGGTGATAAATTTTAAATCACTCTACTGACCATCGGGAAATTTTTCAGGGGTCAGAACCTCATAACATGCAATGATATCATTTTAGACTCCGTAAATAAATAAAATTGAATACACAAAATAAAACGTAAGAAGAATTGTTGATTAATTTCATCCGTATTTTTCTCACTTAAAATGACAAACAATCTAAACATTGTTGACATAGGATGGATATGGAAACATTAAGCTCAACTAATTAAGGTTTTTAGTTGAGACAAAAAAGTCAGCGTCACGAGCGGGATTCGAACTCACAATCTTCGGCTAGATACGCCGCTGCTCTACCACTTGAGCGGTATTTAGCCATCTAGCCGAAGATCGTGGGTTCGAATCCCACTCGTGACGCTAACTTTTTTATCTCAACTAAAAACCTTAATTAATTGAAAGATATTAATTGGTCAAGCGGACCGCGAAACTAGTGAATTTATTAAACTCAACATCAACAGATACTAGTTACGTAGCTCAAACTCAAATAACTCAAATACAGAGGGGATTATGAGTTTTTATGTAGAACATTTTAGAAATCAAAGAAAAAATTTCACAAACTGCTAAATCGTGACCAAAAACGTCTATTTTTTGCAATGAAAAGCTCGTATTTAAGTTCTTTAAATAGCGCTTAATACAAATCTGAATTGAATTTTCCAATAAAATGTTTTAGGCCTGCTTTACAAGAAGCTTATTTTGGTTTTTGTACCATTTTATACAGCAAATCTCATTTAATGCAATCCTGCATATAATTTTTGATCAATTATTTTTTTACCTTACGTAAATAATAATTCAACTGATTAAATACATGCACCGCAAAGGCATAAAACCGATTTTTTTATTGCTTTGCTCCTAAGTCACACCTCTAATATTTTTGACCTAGATCAGATAAAATTTGCATTAAAATCGAAGATTCCACGTCAATAGCCTTCCCTTTTAAACAAAAGACGTTTAAATTTATTTTATTTATTAATTACTAAAATCTTAGTCGTAATAAAGATTAATATAGTTTACACAAGATTAATGTAGTTAGAGATAAAACGTCTTAAAATGTAAAAAATGTTTGTTCGTTAAATGTGGTTATCATGCCAAAAAAAAATTTTTGTTTTAAATCAGTACGGTTATAAATTAATTTGGATAAATTAATGAAAAACAAGTTTATAGTGATGTATTTATATTATACACTTACCCATAAAATTGTAAATATATAAAAGTTCCCAATGTACATTTAAAATTGTATTTGACGTCAATATTTTTCATTCGTTTACACAAAATTTTAAAGTTAGGTTTGAATTTAGTCAATTTTTTATAGTTAAACTGTGATTTGAACAAACATACCTCGGTTGTGCTGGATGTGTTATGTTCGCTTGTTTTGAATTTGTCTTCATTTTTTGTAATTATTTCGCTGTCGTCTGTGGATCTTTTGGTCTCGCCATCTAGCAAATGGTTAATCCTTGATTTTATGTTCGAAGTGATATGTTTTTTCTTTATCGTTTCGTTGGAGAGGTTTTCTGTCAAGCTGTTGCTCGATTTGGTTTTGGTAATTTTTGAATCGGTATAATCCGTGTCGGAATTCTCTTCGGGCCGCCTCCAAGTGGTCGGGTCGAGGTGGTGGCTTAAAGACTCCAGAGAATTCGATCTAGCCGTTTTTTTAGCTTCTTCTTCCAAAATACGAATATCTTCATTAGAACTGATACTCCGTTCATCGACGGAATCATATTTATTAATGGCCGATGTTATATTCATAAAGTTTTTCTTCAAAGTCAGATATTTTTGAAAATTGATACTTTTGTTTTTCTTTATTTTTCCTATTTTCGAATTTAAACTGGAACTTTGGTTGTCGTCGGAGGAAATTTCACTGCCTGACTTCTTCCTGAACCTGCAGACGCTTTTGCATCTTGAAACGATCCGTTTATCTCGTTTTTTTCTATCGTCGATGATTTTCGACTTGGATTTCATTTTTGACCAATTCGATCTCGTGTGAGTCTTGTAGTAATTTGCTGTGGACTTTTCGAGGTTGATCTTTTCAGACACCTCTGGACCCAGTTTGGACGATTTCCTTTTAGCGTCGTAAATAACTTTTCTGACTTCACTGTTGATCGACACGCTCCTCGATTTGTCTTTGTGCTTGGACGTACTATCTTCATTACCCCGGCGTAAAACGTCATAAGAATCCTTCTCGGTGATCCAGAGTTTTCCGTCTTCCATGTAAATGGGCTCGCCGTTGGAACAGCACATCGGTATGCCTTCGTTGTCAAGAACGACCAGATAATTTCCAAGATTGTCCCTCAACAGAAAACCGTCCCGGTCCGACAACGGATAGCCGAGGGAGTTGTACAATATTCTTGGGTTGTACTCCTTGTCGAAAATCCTGATGTCGTGCATTTGTGTCGGACAAGGGTGTTTCGTTGGATCAAAAGAGATCGTCGTAGGTGGATAGTTGAAAGCGTCGTAAACTTGAAGTTTCTTCGCGATGACGTCGTTTAAATCGCTTGCCGGTAACATCTTCACTCCTAAATTGTTCTTTAAACATCTACCTTTTGTGTCTGTTAACGGGAAGCCTGCTTTGTTGTAAAGCAGCACTGGTTTTCCCTCTGACGACGTTATTCTGTCTTTCTCCGACGATCTCCATTCCATACCTCTTACAGAAGGACCTTCATTTTCTGTAATGTCTGTATGTTTAATTTCGACTTCTTTAGCTTTGTTTTCCTCGGGTGGGTCTTTATCTTCCTCTTTTTTTCCTTCTTCTTTTACTTCTTCTTTTATTTCTTCTTTTTCTTCGGCGGATTTCACGTTCGGGCTGTGAGTTTCTTCGTTTATGGTCGATACCTCTTCCACTTCGTGGTTCTCTTCACGCTGGAAATCTACGAAAGGCGCGTCTTCCTGGACGGTCGTCAAAGCAGACAATACTGGTATATCTGCTCTGAAGTTCTTCAACTTGGATCTCGTCATGTCTGTGTTGTTATTCCCTTGGGATATGTCTAAAATTTTTAATATATCCGAATTGTAGTTTTCCGGTTTGAAAAAGTGGCTGCTCAATGTCATTTCGAGTTTTTTATTTATTTCGTCCATTTCAAGTTGAAAATTATTCTTTCCTCCAACGTCGAACTTTTCCGAAATCGCTTTGCTATCGTTTCGCTTGTTCGTATTATCGAAATTAGGCAGCAAATGGTCGTTGCAGCAACATTTTACTGGCTTTTCGTCTTTGTAAAAGGAGTTACACTTCAAAAAATAACCATCGTCGTTCATGCTTCTTCGGTTTTTGAGACATGATATCAAGGGAGATGACGTCCGGCTGTTGTACTTCTCGTAATTTTCACCACAACCAAAATAACAGTTGTCGGCCTTTTGTTCCGTACCGAAAATGTGCTTGTTCAAGTTGCACACGCAAGATGACGACATTTTATCGTTCATCATCGCCAGCTTTTTACTATAGGTCAAATCTCGACTATCCTCTTCATAGAAATTGTTTTTCAACAATGGTTTAGCGCGGGTATCTTCTAATAATGAAACGGTCGACTCGCTTTCCGCGACGTACGTACCGTTTCGTGTCGAACTGCTTTTACGCACGAGCGATACTAAATAGCTGGGCGTGATTTTGAATTTGGATTCTTTCTGGATTACTTTCTCGTTCGGGTATTGCTGCGAATTGAACGACGGTCTTGGATTGAAGCGTTTCGCGTACGAGGAAATCGAGGGGGACGTAAGGCTGTAAAAACATAGTTATTAGCAATGATGACACTATCGCAGATCAATAAATCATGTTGACAAATTATTTATTTAATTGAACCAATATAAGATTTTTTGTCAATTCACAATAATTTGGAAAACATTGGTTATTAATATTATTAAAACTTGATTAGTTTTACTACGCGATGACACATGGACTGATAATTCGCGAATTCTTCCTCTTTATTTTAAATTAAATTATTATTTATTTATTGCTAACTGTACACAAATGCACATAGAGCAATTAGTACATATATACAAATCTGACAGATCTGACGGTGGGGAAAGAAGCCAGTCAGTGCTGAAACTCCTGATGTCTGTTGGGACGAGGATCAAGTCTGGTATGGTTCAGGAACAATACCAAAACTCATATTATTACTGTTTTATTAATTCAATTAAATAATAAAAAATAGAAAATCATATGTTTAAAAAAGCGTTTACCTTGTTGCCTTCGAAGAAGTGCCAGTTGTTTTTATTTTTTGGTGTTTAACATAATCATGATGCGTTTGCTTGTTCTTTTTAACAGCTCCGAAGGAAGAACCCGAAGTCCTAAAGCTTTCGAAACGAGGTGAGACACGACATTCTTCCCGCGATTCGTTTACCGCTGAGTGTTCATCGTCTGATTTGCCCATTTCGTTACCATCATTTGTTCTGGTTTCGTTGATTTTTTCTTTGTAACTGGGCAGAAAAGTAGACCGCTTGAGAAGTTTGTCGGTGCACTTGCTGCTGGTTTTTGACTTGTCGCTCTTGATATCACATCGTTTCCTCGTTTTTGCCTGCACACCTGAGAACCGGGATTCGACTTTTACCCTGCTTTTGTCTTGTAGTCGGGTCTTGGATTTGTCGCCGCATTTAACACCTGACATCGGTTTTCTCGAGATAGCTTTGCGAGTAATGCTTTCGACCGCGTCAAACCTCAGCGAATTACTCTCGTCCGAGTCCGGGTCGGATTCGGTAGACGTCTGGCTCCATTTATCGACACTTTCGTCGGGTGGTTTGACGTTTACCATCTTGCAGACGAGCTTACGTTCCACGCTTTTTGTCCTAGCCGACGAACCGTTTTCTTGGTTTCTATTGTATAAACGGGTGATGTACCGCCGATCGGGTTCTTTCTGTTGCCGTACGAAACCATTGTTCGGGCTGTAAACGTTCGTTTTCCTAGAGGTAGGACTGTACTGGGGGGACGTCCTTCCTCTACGCTCGCCGAAAGCTGGCTGCCTTCCGGCGAAGTTGCTCGAAATAGGTGAGCCGATGTAGTCTCGTTTGCCTAAGCAGGCTCTGGGTGTTTCACTCGGATCTTCAGCCTCGATGTCTTCGTCCTTCCAACGTTTTCGTGTATCGCAGGCTGGTTGTTCCGAGTTGTGCTGTCTTGCGTGTTGCGTGGCGGATTTTACCTTCAACCGACCGGAGCTCCGATCACCGAGGAACGTTTTGCAGTTGGCCGACTTCATGAACCTTTTCGTGCGTCTTCCGTCGACAGATTCATCGCTCGACTCTGACGAACTGGCTTCGTCCTGTCTGCTCTTCCTGCAATTCCGGCTGCGGGGGTCGCCGGGTCTCTCCTGAGGGGATTGTTGCTCGACAGACGTCAGATAATCCAAGACTGCGGTGTCAGAATCTCGGTTCCCCACGTTCACCGGTTTCACGATGTTGACTTTGGTGGTCCTGTTTTGCCTTGCGACATAGCCCGAAGGAATGTCGGTCAACGACGGCCCTTGTGACCGCAAATGAACTTCGTGAAGGTTTGTCACGTCTCTCACTAACCGTTTTGGTTTCCTGGTTTTCTTTTCGGCTACCTTCGGCTTAGGCGGATAACGTCTGTCCATGATATCCGTATGACTCCTAACGACGTGATCCAATGACAAAAAACCACCGTGCAACCGACTTTTCAATTCTTTGTTCAAGAGAGAAAGATTTTTCGCCCGCTTCTCTAACGTTCTCTTGATGCTTTTGAAATCGTTTGACTTTTGCGATTCGACGGAAAGATTATAATTCACGTTTTCATTATGAGGAAGCGAACCTTTACTGCAGTTATACAGTAAGTAACACTTTTCTGAAACGCAACCCCCTTTTCCAGTGTCAAAATTCAGCAATTCGGAATCCTTGTCTGTCTTACTACAGGGAACCACTTGCTTCGGATGAAAAAGCGGATCATAACAATCTCCTGACAACGTATTATAGAAGACCCTCAATGCTTTGGAAAGACGAGAATACGAATCGCGAGAGATGGGCCGAGTATCTTTACATTTTACAGTTGTGTATGTGTTCTTTTTGAGGACCTTCTTTCTGACGACGTCCAAACCCAAATGGTTTTTGCCTCTTATCTCTTTGATTCCTGAATCTTGAACGGACTCATTGTTGGACATAACGGTCTCAATTACATCGTCTAAAATACGTCTGATGAAGATGGATTCCAAATTAAACTCAAAATTTTGTGCGTAATAAAAGCCTGAAGATACATTTTTTGAATATTTGTAAAGAAACTGGAATTTAACCAGGTAAATCACATGTTAATTTATACATCTGATTATTTTACTTTTAGTATTTCTTTGCCAGTTTTAACATTCCTTAGCCAGAATAAACCCCCAAAATAGAAACAACTTGACGCTAATTAATATAAATTCTTTCACATCCAAAAATAATAATATTTCAACAGGAATTAAAATGATATCTTAATTAATTTAAAAACAAAAAAATAATTTCCATCCTGTAAAATGTGTAATTAATGGTTTTGCATAAAGCAAAATTGTAACAACTAAAAATATAATAGTTCAGGCAGTTACTGGTTAACGCAGAAATAAGTAGTCAAAGCCCTCGGGGAAAATATGTTTCGTTGAGAAATTTCTAAATTTCTTATTGTGGTCAAATTTTTATATGTAATTTTTTACTACTTTATCTGGTTCATTAGAAAGGAAAACCAAGTCTTAGTGGCATAAAAATCTTTTATGTATTATGTTCATTCCAGGCTCATTGGCCCATCCTCATCAGCTCCAACAGATATTCCGAATTATAGTTTCCATATACCAGACAATTGTAAACAAACATGAACATGGCTAGACAATGTGCAAAACAAGGAAAAAAATGGTGCCACTTTGGTTGGTTTTTTCTTTTCCTTTTTCCCACAAACCATCTAGATTAAATTTCATTCAGGCGGAAATATCAATATAAATCAATTTAAAACGAATAAAAATATTTTATTCAATTAATATAATATATGTACATTCTTGATACTTTTGAGGTGCACCAATCAAAATTGGGTCACAGCCTCATTGATATCAACTGGTAGTATAGTCGGTCTGGGTAAAACAAAACTTGTCGTACCAGTCAATCTGTTCTTTGCTTAACGAAGGCTTGACTTCACTGAGAACTTTCAACCAATGTTCATATTTGATGAGCTTACAGTCCTCTCCATCTTCGGTCATTGCCCTAAAAGCCACCTGGAACAGAGAAAATATAACTCGCATTTTTTTTTTTTTTTTTTTTTATTTATGAAAGCAAATGATAATTAAGTTCATAAAAGTTTTGACATAGTTATTACAGGATATAATATAGACTCCATAGAATGAGTAAAATTACAAATACGTTTATCTATTGACTAATGATGTCTCTATGTTTATCTATCAACATTATATCTAGCATTAATATAGGCTGTAAGCTTTGCAATTGATATATATTATAGGCTGGAAGTGGTAACATTACCTTTTCAAACAATTTTAATAACATCGGATATGTATAAAAGGGGACTATGAGTTTTTAAACAGAATATTTTGGACATCGGAGAAAAAATCTAGCCCAAAATTGTCTATTTTTTGTTTACCATAAAAGCTCATATTTAAGTGCTTTAAAGAGCGCTTAATGCAAACCCTAAATTTAAAATTTGCTGGTTAATAACATCAATACCTTATACAATCTTTTTTATTTACAGTAATTTATTTTTGTTTAATTATTATCAAATTTGTTGGTTAACGTCAGACAACATTTCAATTTTTTTTAATAATAAAGTAACAAAAAGTTATTTATTTATTTATTAACTTAATATTTATTAACATTTACTTTGGACCTTCAGGAATTGACACCATCATCAGAAATCTTGTATGTTATTACATTAATAATTTACTATATCCACATTGCATTTTAAAAAATATGACAATCTTGCATCATACATTTTTGTATTATTTCTAAGTAATATAAAATAAAAATTTACTTACTGACAGGCCGCAATGGCCAAGATGAATAATATTATTATCATTCTTTTTTAAATGAATTAGACAGATTCCAAAGTTGATCTTTTTAATTTATGTGGTTTTAGGCATGCTGTACTTTTTTAATTAAAGATAACTCGACCAAGCTGATTTAAGTGATTAACATGTCATCTGGTCATTAATGACCATTTTTTAATCTGCCATCGGTGGTTTGGTCCATCAGGAACATTTCTACATTTCTACATTTTGCCACATTCAGTGTTTGGTATGGGTCTGAAGTTGGTGAAATTCTGAAATGTTTCTGGCAGACTAAACCAACAAGGATAAGCCAGCAAAAAAATTATCATTTATGACCAAATTAAACAAAATTTTATAATCTTATTTTAGTAAATATTATTTAAAAGTTTAATGTAATTGGGAAGTTTTTCCCAGACAAAAATACATACTTTTTTTAAATTCAAGGTTATTATAGTACTTAAAAGCCTATTTCATTTTTAAGGTTATTATAGTAAATATATTTACCTATTTTATTTAATAACCTTAAATTACGAGGAACTATTTTTCCTTTTTCCATTTCTGACTAAATATGGACTTTTCAGTTGCTCTCAAAATCTCTCAATTCCAGGCATCCCAACGGTACAGTGCCAAGTGATCAATCAATTAAATTAAATTAAAATGGGAATTAAATCAAACTGATATTATGGCCATAAGGACTTTTCAGGATATCTTGGTCTATGGTAAGGATCAAATTACAAGTTATAGAAATTTTAAAAAATTACCTCTCGACAAAGATTAGCAATATCTGCGCCAGAAAATAATTCAGTTTTTCTTGATATTAAATCAAGATTGACAGACTCTTCTAATGGCATTCTGAAATTTAAAAAAAAAAAATGTAACATTCAAAACATACTGTTTGTAAAATTATTGTTCATACTTGCTTGTCAAAACATTTAGTATGTCCTTACGGTCCTCAAAATTAGGTGGAGGTACATAAATTAATTTATCGAATCTTCCTGGTCGTAAAAGAGCTGAGTCTAACACTTGAGGCCTGTTTGTAGCGGCAATCACAATTACCTTGCTTGTCAAGGCGCTAGACTACAAATTACAAATAAATTCATGCCTGTTTATTAAAACAAAAAAGAACTAACGAGTTTATTCGATCTTCCTATGCCGTCCATTTCTATCAAAAACATTGAAAGAATCCGCTCGTGAGCATTGTTTTGCCTTCCTCCTCTACATCCGACCAGAGCATCTGAAATAAAACATATTGCATTTTTCAAAATATTAATTAAATAAGATGATTATGAACCGATTTCATCGATGAATAAAATCGAAGGAGACGATGCTCTCGCTCTTTGAAACAAATCAGTTATTGTTCGTTCGGCATCGCCGACATAAGGCGAGTATAAATCGGCAGCAGAGACAGAGAAAACTACCATATTGCTTTCCATCGCGACAGCCCTGACAATGCTGGTTTTTGCACATCCAGGAGGACCATACAGTAAACAACCTAGTGTTAAAAATAAAATAAAAAATATGGCAAAAAGAGGGAAAATTCGAAAGGTTGCAGGTTGATATGAGGAGCTGGTGTCCGAGTTGATCGAAGTCACATAGAGCAACATGTATTGAGCGGAAGGTCTTGAGTTCAAATCCTACTCGTGACACTAGCTTTTTCATCTCAACCAAGAATTTAGATAAAAAGTTTAATTAAATTTTAAAAAATAATAATCTTGTCATTTTTTTAAATAATAAGTAATATATTTAGAAAGATCACCTGATGCTGTTTTTAAGTTAAACCTTTTAAATGCTGAACTATGTAGAATAGGCCATTTTATAATTTTAAATAGAGACTTTTTCACATTATTCAGTCCACCAAGATGATGTTCTTCAATGTTATTTTTTCTAAATACTCCAATCGCACCGTGTTGCATGCTTGGTTCAATTTGACGAATGTTGTTGATAAATACATATTGAAAAAAATGCTTAAATAAAACACCATCTAGATGTATATAACGTTCAGTTTCCATGTCTCGCCTAGCATTATGAACAAGGAGAGCCAAGTCTGATATTGTGTATCCCGCAGTCATCGCCGCTATTTCAGAACAACAACTACTGTTCAAACCTTCATCTTCACAAAGAGCGATTAACATTTCATTTCTCTCCTCTTCATTAGGAATCTCTACAAATATCTAAAAAGAAAAGTAATTTAAAAATTTAAAACTAGAGTAAAAATTTATTAAGTTCAACCTTGAAGTGAAACCTTGATGATGTTTTAACACATTCGTGTAAATTAGAAGTACTAGAGATAGATAAAACTGCCGTTATGTTAGATATTAAGGAAATAGAATCTATCAAGGCGATAAAATGTGAAAGAAGTCTCCCAGGCTTCCTACATATAGATTCAGGATGTAATATTAAAATAATTACAAGACCTGAAAAAATTTCATATTATTTTATACTTAAAAGGTAAAAATTGCATTTTACCTTCATCCGAATGATATATGGCTTTGTTGAAGTAATCACTCAATAAAGATTCACTTTCGCCAACTGATGGCTGGACAAGCTCAGAACAATTAATTGTTATTAAAACCGCTTTACAATCATAAGCTACTTTCTTGACAATATATTTCTTCCCAGAGCCTGCAGGGCCAATTATTATTACCTAAAATGACTTTATACATCCATATAGTCTGATAATTTAAAGTTCAACTAAATACAAACCTGAGGTAGGTTGTATTTTTGGGCAAAGGAAGTTTTTGAAATGTTCTGCCTGCAGGTTAAATAATCTTTTAGTTTGTTATAAGGTGAACCGAAAACTTTAAAATACAAGTTGTTTTCTGGTAATAACTGCGTGTAACGCTCTGAGCTGATAAATTTTTCAATAACTAAATTCGTTGAATGAACAACTTTTCCAGCATCCACCTTTCCTATGTTGTGGACGAGGACGTGGCTCACACCGAGTACTGAGAATGGTTCCAAGCCATCCAAAGACACGATGCTGTCCGAAACAAGGGCTAAGCAGGCAAGGGCCCTTTTCAATTGGTCTTTAAAAGACCTACTTGATGAACGTTTTCTCATGCCGACCTTTAAAACAACAGAGATTTTCAACGATTTTATATACCTAACCCCAGGGATGAGAGTGAGCTGGGAGACTTTTGGCTGATTGTCAGTCGTAACACCTTTTACAAGGACCGTCTTGTCCATTATGCAAGAGTTGTCATTTAAAAAATAAGCTGGGAATATTCTTGAGAAATACACGGAACCATCCGATAATTTCACGCTGGCATATTTTCCAAACAGCTCATCCTCACAGGACATCGGCAAATAAAGCCTCTGTAGTCCTTCGAGAGTTTGGGACTCGAAAGTCACCCTTAAATCCAAACCCATTTTTCCTGTAAAAAAAAAAACCAAACTGTAAATACCTTTTTGGATAATTTGGACAAAATTTTACATTTTAAGTGTTAGACATATCGGCCACTTTTCTACTCACAAATAATCTGGAACAAGGTTGATGCAAAACAATTCACTGTTATTGCCAAGCTTTCAACCTATTTTAGGTCATCATTATGGCAAAACAATCTTAAACATGTCTACAAAGTGACATAATTAAGTTTTTTATTTTTAATAGATGGATTCAAATTTCTTTGAAGTATGGACTATAGTATGTGCCCCAGATAAATACAAATTATTATGTTACACAGTCCTTGACAATGTTGGGACTGAGTCAGTCTTCAACATTATTTAAAACCATATGTTAAAACCATAATTATGTAAATTTGTAAACAAATTTAAGATTTTTTTACCTGATGATGACCTTAAAATACAACCAAAGCTTGGCAGCAATTTTTAACTGAATTTGTTTTTTCACCAAGACCATACACTGTAATCCAGATTATTTGTAAAAATTTATTATCGCTGTTTTGCATTTTGTAAAGGATTTTTGCAGTCAATTAGTATTGCCTTTCATAATTTTTCATGCCCAAACATTTTATATATTACCACGAAAAATAACATTACTACAAATTAATAACTACAATAAAATAACTTTTTTTTTTTAAGGGACAGAAAACTACATTGGTCATCACCAGCTCTCTCTTCCTTAGCTTTATATTTCTTTTCTTATCTTTCTCACATTTTAATCCTATGAGTTATGATATTTTATGGCATGATGGTAACCAACTCTCTTTTTTTTTTTTTTGTTCTATTGCTAGCCTTTCTGTACCTCAGGGCCTTGTTAATTGTGTATAAAATAAGATAAATAACAAAAACAGATACAAGGTAAAAACGTGATAGTCTGTTACCCAAGACTATTTGATATTTCTTGGGGTAATGCCCTTCCATTCACGCTAATAAATTACATGCACACACTAGACTACATCCACACTACCTAAGAGTACTTGATACTCCTCGGGTAATTGGGGATAAGCCTCTTCATTCTCGCTAATAAATTACACTCGCACATTTATTAATCTGCCCAAACTAGTAGAAATTCCTCATGATAATTGGAAATAAACCATAATAAATTACATATACCCAGAACAAATCTTTCACATGACTCGATATTCCTCAGGGTAATTGAGGATAAGGTACCTTTCACACTAATAAATTACACTCACAATTCATTCACACTACCCCAGAATTCTCGATATTCCTCGGCGTAATTAGGGGTAAGCAAACATACACGCAAATAAATTACACTAACACTACCTCAAAGTACTCGATATTCCTCGGGGTAATTAGGGATAAACCTCTTCATTCATGTTATAATAACATGAAAACACAATAAAATACAATACCATATACATTTATAATATAATTACATTTGCACATTCATTCATATGACCCAAGACTACTCGATATTCCTCGGGGTAATTTGGGATAAACCTCTTCATTCATGTTATATTAACATGAATACACAATAAAATATAATACAATGTACATTTATAATATAATTACATGTGCACATTCACCCCAGAGTACTTGATATTCCTTGGGGTAATTGGGGATAAGCTACCTTTCATGCTAATAAATTACATTCACACATTCATTCACACTACCCCAGAATACTCGATACTCCTCGGCGTAATTGGGGATAAACCTCTTCATTCAAGTTATATTAACATGAAAACACAATAAAATATAATACAATATACATTTATAATATAATTACATTCGCACATTCATTCATATGATCCGAGACTACTCGATACTCCTCGGCGTAATTGGGGATAAACCTCTTCATTCAAGTTATATTAACATGAAAACACAATAAAATATAATACAATATACATTTATAATATAATTACATTCGCACATTCATTCATATGATCTGAGACTACTCGATATTCCTCGGGGTAATTTGGGATAAACCTCTTCATTCATGTTATATTAACATGAATACACAATAAAATATAATACAATGTACATTTATAATATAATTACATTCGCACATTCTTTCACATGATCTAGATTATGCCTCAGGGTAATTAGGGATAAGCTACTTTTCATGCTAATAAATTACATTCACACATTCATACACACTACCCCAGAATACTCGATATTCTTCAGGGTAATTGGGGATAAACCTCTTCATTCATGTTATATTAACATGAATATACAATAATAAATGTAATAGAATATACATATATAATATATACCATAAAATATAATTACATTCGCACATTCATTCACTCTACCCCAGAGTACTCACGGAAATTAATATTATATATCACATAAATGAAGACACAAAGATCCTATATTAATAATTAAAAATATTAATGGCATGATAATTATTTCATGTTTATTATTCAATTAAAACCTACCTACAGTTTAAAGTATTGGCTAGATTTTATAAAGAAGAACTCAATGAAAAACTTGTCCAGATTAAGTGAAAATCAAAACCAAAATCACCAGGCATTTGACTACCACATGTATATTGTATAATAATAAACAAGAAAAACCTGACAAAAACTTCTCAGCATCTTTGAAGTTTGAACTGAATGCAGGGAAGGATGTTCGAAACTGCTACTGAAGGAACTTCTCAGAACTAACTGAAAAGGCTTATTCATACTTATCCAAAGCAAATGAATGAACTGCATGAATGTTTTTTTTAATATAATTATATTATTGGATCAAATGATGCAGTTCACAAACCAATTTTTTCCTTTATTTTCAATGATTGTTCAAATGATTCAACTAAGCTAAATGTAATTGAAATTATAAATAAAGTTCCATTGCACTTTCATTATCCAAATGCAGTGAAATACACAACCTAGTATGTAAAAAGAGCAATTGAAAATAAGTAAATTACTTGGCAAATAGATACATAGATACCATTTTATTATGAGCATCATTTAACAATGTTTCCTCAACAAAATTACATTATTGGGTAAAGAGAAAAAAGTCGAACTTAACAATTCAACAAGACCCATGTAAAAACAAAGAAAACATTTTTGCTATTAATTTTTTTTTTTTTAAGACAAACGTTTTTTATTTACATATAATGCTTCAAATATAACAAATGCAGCAAAGAGAAAGGACAGGGAAGTAAATAAATAACTATTTGTACCTTTAAAATGGATAAATAAATAATAATAATAATAAATAATTATGATATATGTTATATTTGTCATATGTAAGTAATTAAAATTGAATATGATGATGGGGTTTCCTTGTAAGGAAATTGAATTGATAAAATGTATTTGTATTGTTCTGAGAAGAGAATACTAGCTTCTTCACCTCAACCAAGACCTTAGATAAAAAGTATAATTAATTAAAATAATATGTCAATTAAAACTACTAAATACATATATGGATTATTATTATTATTGAAACTAAATTTGTTTCTAAAATATGTACATATAAGGCGGCTAAAAGCACAATTTGTGCCTTTAATATAAATTAATATTAATAATAAATAAATAATTATGATACGTTATATATAAGTAATAAATTGAATATGATGATGATGATGGTTTTGCCTGTTATGGAAATAGAATTGACAAAATGTATTTGAATTGTTGGGGGAAGGGAACACCAGCTTTTTCATCTCAACCACAGATCGTAGATAGAACTTATAATTAATACATGTACTTTAAATAAATCAATATTAATAATAAATATAAGTTTTATATGTCATATTTGAGTAATTTGAATATGATGATGATAACGATAACCCTAACCATCCCTAAACGACGATGGTTTTGCCTTAAAAGGAAATTGAATTGACAAAAAACTTGTATTATTCTGGGAGGAGAACATTAGCTTTTTCATCACAACCAAGATATAAGATAAAAAGTATAATCAATTAAAATAATTAATACAGTCAATTATGACTACTAAATATGTATATATATGGATTGTTATTATTTTACTACGTTTACGTGACTAAATTTGTTTCCAAAATATGTACATGTAAGGGGCTAAAATCTATTTCTACCTTTACAATAAATATTAATATTAAATAAATAATTATGATATATATTATATATGCCTTGCATAAGTTATTAAAATTGAATATGATGATAACGGTTTTGCCTTTTAAAGAAATAGAAATGACAAAATGTATTTGTACTGTTCTGGGAAGTGCACACTAGCTTTTTCATCACGACCAAAACCTTACGTAAAAAGTATAATTAATTAAAATAATTAATACGATCAATTATGATTACTAAGTGCATATATAGGTTATTATTAATATTACTTTCTTTTTTTATCTTTAAATGGCCTTATGATCGATGCATATTTAGCCAAGGTGACGATTGTTATATGTGTATTCATTAATATTACTGGTTAGAGATGGTTAGTGATGGTTAGTTCACAAAAGAGTGAAGCACATTTTGCTATAAATTAACTATATAACGTAAAGGGTTTTTATTTATTTTTTTATTTTTATTTTTTTCCCTTTGTGTTAATATTGAGATATGTTTAAATTAGTTCTTTTTTTTTTTACTTCAGATCAGGTATATAGGCAGGAAGCCTGAAGCCAGTCTTTTAATTTCTTTGTAAATACTGTATATATTTTGTAAATAAAAATAAATTTCAATTTCAATTAATATTACTTTTCTATGTTTATGTAACTAAATTTTTTTCTAAAATATGTACATGATAAAAGCCCTATTTGTGCCTTCAAAATAATAAATATTAATAATAAATAAATAATTATATGTTATATGTAATAAGTAATTAATTGAATATGATGATGATGTTGGTTTTGCCTTGTAAGGAAATAAAAATGACAAAACGTATTTGTATTGTTGTGGGAAGGGCATATTTGATTTCCTCCTCAACCAAGACAGATAAAAATTATAATTCATACTTGTATTTTTAAATAAATAAATATTAATAATAAATAAGTATGATATAAGTCATATATGTCATTTTTAAATAATTAAAATGGAATATGATGATGATGATATTTTTGCCTAGTAATGAAATTGAATTGATAAAATGTATTTGTATTGTCCTGGGAAGAGCAAAGAGTGACCATAGAATGGATCCGTAGTCGGGCCATATCGTTTAGAGGCGGGTTTCTGAGAGATCGATTTGACCGTAGTTTTCTCAGTACCGTCTGGATAGAGATAGAGCCGTAATCGTATGGTGTAAGAGAAGGAGGGCGACACTGGGCTTTCCTTTTCAGTAAATCTTTACGATTTTTATTTTGACTTTTGATCCGTTTTCATCCGAAAAGTCGCCACTCGACGACTCTCTCTCTGACGAGGAACAGTCTTGGGGAATAGGATCCTCGGTAATAGGCCGTCCTTCGTCCCGTTCAGGGGGAAAAACGACTACGACCTCAGGATTGGACCACTATTTCCAAATCCCATTTGTCATCGGTTAAACTACGCAAAAGATGATTTTCAATTGAAATCAACCAGATAAAACGAGCCATCTCAAGCGTAGAGGTCAGTCAATCGTAATATTTATTTTCAACTGGTACATATCTACCAATTATTTTTGTTTATTTAAAAAAATATATATACATAATATATAATTTTATCCATAATCAATTATCTATACGTTCATTGTGCTCTAATTCTAGGTCGGTTGCTGCGACTTTCAGATTGACCTTCCTTTCACGAATTATAATATATTAAAAAAAAAATTTCAATATTATGTCATTGTTTATTCTGTGAATACCCAATAAAGAATGAAGTAACATTCTGTTGCATTTATTAAAATTATTAGAAAAGTAAAGAAGGAAGAATAATAAACTACAATTTATTGCTATGAGCTGTCATGCCATTTACAATATTATCCTTGGTGATTTATCTCTCTGGGATGGTCGCAAAAGCTAGGATATTGACATATTTTTGTTTTTAAGACATTTTTCCTTCACTTTTATTGTGATAATGGCATTAAGATTAATCATCATGTTATCACAGTTATCCTTGCTGTTTTATGATCACTCTGGGATGGTCACAAAGGCTGAAATATGAAAATGTTTTTGTCTTTAAGACTTCTTCATTCAATTTTATTGTGGCATTGTCATTAAGTATATTTGATTTTCAAAGAAGGAAAAATAAACATAATCCATCATGTTATATCATTTATACTAAAGGAAGTGATCTTGAAATAGTCACAAAGGCTGGCATGTTGAAATATATTTGTTTTTAAGTTTTTTTTCCCTTCACTTTTATTGTGGTAATGTCATTAAAAGCAATTGTAATGTTATCACAGTTATCCTTGCTGATTTCTGATCCCTCTGGGATTGTCAGAAAGGCTGAAATATGAAAATGTTTTTGTTTTTAAGACATTTTCCTTCAGTTTCATTCATTGTAATATTGTATTAAGTGTATTTGATTTTCAAAAAAAAAATATAGTGGAAGTGATCTCCATAGGATGGTCACAAAGACTGGAATTTCGAAATAGTTTTGTTTTGAAGTCTTTGTTCCTTCACTTTTATTGTGACATTGTCATTAAGAGCAATCGTCATGATCTTGAAATAGTCACAAAGGCTGGAATGTTGAAATATATTTGTTTTTAAGTATTTTTTTCCCTTCACTTTTATTGTGATAATGGCATTAAGATCAATCGTCATGTTATCATAGTTATCCTTGCTGTTTTATGAACCTTCTGGGATTGTCACAAAGGCTGAAGTATGAAAATGTTTTTGTTTTTAAGACATTTTCCTTAATTTTATTGTGGCATTGTCATTAAGTATATTTGATTTTCAAAGAAGGAAGGTCTCAAAGGCTGAAATATGAAAATGGTTTTGTTTTTAAGACTACTTCCTTCAATTTTATTGTAATATTGTATTAAGTGTATTGATTAAAAAAAAAAAAAAAAAATAGTGGAAGTGATCTCCATAGGATGGTCACAAAGGCTGGAATTTTGAAATAGTTTTGTTCTGAAGTATTTGTTCCTTCACTTTTATTGTGACATTGTCATTAAGAGCAGTCGTCATGTTATCACAGTTATCCTTGCTGTTTTCTGATGCCTCTGGGATGGTCACAAAGGCTGAAATATGAAAATGTTTTTGCTTTTAAGACTTCTTCCTTCAATTTTATTGTGGCATTGTCATTAAGCGTATTTGATTTTCAAAGAAGAAAAATTAACATGATTCATCATGTAATTACAGTTACCATTATTGATTTGTGATCCTTTTGGGATGGTCACAAAACCTGGAATATTGAATTATTTTTGTTTTTAAGTATTTTGTCCTTCAATTTTATCGTGACAACTCCATTAAGTGAACTTGATACAAAGAAGAAAAAATAAACATAATCTGTCGTGTTATATCACTTATACTGAAGGAAGTGATCTTGAAATAGTCACAAAGGTGTCTTGTTTTGCATTATTTTTTTTTTCTTCTAATTTATCTGGTCACAAAGGCTGGAATATTGAAATATTTTTGTTTTTAAGTATTTTGTCCTTCAATTTTATTGTGGCAATATCATTAAGTGTATTTTATTTTCAAACAATAAACATGATCCATCATTATGTCTTAGTTTTACTTGTGGAAGTTGGATTGGTCACAAAGGTGTCTGGGCTTTCTTTTTGTTTATTCAGTTATATTATCACAATTTCATTAAACGTTTTTGATTTTCGAAACACGTGGTCCCAAAGTGACTTATAAATATTTTGTTGTACAAATCAAATGCCACATTTTGAAATATTTAATTATTTTAGCTTAAAATTGTAAAATCAATCACAAATTATTATTATGAGCTGTAATATCATGTCATGTTATCACAGTAGGTTTGTTCCATGATGCATCCAAACTGTCAGCAAATTGGCGGACTCTTGCGCAGTTGAGTTTTGATGTTCCATCACGCTCAAATCACAAACTCAAACTGTCAGTCGGCCATTCCGTCATGTTTCCAAACCAGGTTTGTGTCTGGTTTTGGACCGTCAAAACAGTCTAAGGATTTTATTGAGGTCTTGCAGTCAGAAACATGGATAGATCTTTCCCAGCGCTTTCGCTATTGTCAAATCGCAAATTCTTACTCAACTAGGAACCGGATTTATATACAAAATAAAACATAAATATTCACATATATATGTATTTCTTTTTAAACAAATACCCAAGTAAAAAATGTAAAAAAAAAACATTTCATTATGCAGATGAAAAATATGTAAAAAGGAAAAATATAACAAGTTAATAAATTAGAAAATAAACTTTTAATTTATTTGAACTAATGTACATTTTTAAATTTTTGTAAGTAAAAATGTTTCTTTCTAGTGCTAAAAGAATTCTATAAAATAAAAACGCATTAAAAAATATATGTTAAAGAATTTTACGAAGTTGTTTAACGAAATCATAAATGATGAGGGAAAAATTCAGATGAGGGAATTTATTTGCCATGTTTATTATTCCATCAAGAGTGTTCCACATTTAGTTAAAAAAATTCACAATTTATTGTAATGTGCTGACATGTTATCCAAGTTATCCTTTCTGATATTTGATCTCTCTGTGATGCTCACAAATGTGTCTTGTTTGACATTATTTTTTTCTTCTATTTTATAACGTTATTAAATAACAGTTAGCTGTTTAATTTTCAAAGGAAAAATAAACATGATCCATCATGTTACCATACTTATACGTCCAGAAGTCATATCCCTGGCATAATCACAAAGGTGTCTTCTTTTAGAGTTTTTAAATTTTTTATTTATTGTAATTTAATTAAATGATTTTGATCTTCAACAAGGAACATGTATTGTTTTTTATTTTTTTATTATTTTTTTTTATTATTGCTTAGTATAATTTTATTTTCTTTAATTTGTTGTTGTAAACGAATATAAACCGAACAGATTTACAAGTGCTGTAGCTATACTTACCAAAGCCCCAATTAAGCTTACTCCACTTCATGTAAAAAAAATTAATAATGATCCTATCCTAGAAACACAACAAAAAAATAAATAGTGATTTATCGCAGTTATCTTCGCTGATTTTTTTTAACCTTCTGAGTTATCCACAGAGGTTGGAATATGAATATTTATCCAACAGATTAATTGTGCCAAATTTGTTGAATGACGACTTTTAATTAGAAAAAATTAACATTAAATTTTAGAGATATTATTACTGCTATCCTTGCTGATTTTTAATCTGGCCACAAATGTTGGAACACAATTTTTAAAGAAGACTTGTATTTTGTAACATTTTTATTAATTGTCAATTTTTAAGTGTTTTTTTTTTTCATTTAAAAAGTAATTTTAGCATAATTTAATCAAATTTATACCATTTCAATGATGAAAATGTTTAAAAATTGCTCACAATTTTTTTCTGATCCTACTATTCTTCTATCATGCTTCATTTTTAAAGAATAAGGCCAATAAATATTTGACTTTACAACGTTGACCCAAGGGAATCATGGACTGATTGCGGTAAATACAAAATAAAGCAATTCCTGACATACAAGAGGGCTTAAAGTCCGACTACCCAACAGTGACATGGATGAGGGGTCAACCATATTACAACGTTTATATTTTCATTGGCTATGCTATGATTTGTACCAGAATTGCTAGTTTGGCAAATACAAGTAAAACGCCCTAACCAGCCATCATGGTCCCCTGATACAAAATAAAAAAAAAGCAAAATATATCCTTAGCGAATATTGCAAGAATAATATATATATATATATATATATATATATATATATATATATATACTTTATTGTGCCCTATTTGTTAATTGAGTTCGTTTTTAAACTTGCTTTTTCAAAAATGTTGAAGATGTTCTATCCTAACTTATAAATATAAGTCCCTTAAAGCTGTGTGCCTTTGATAGTAACTAAATAACATTTGTTTCATTATAACTTTCCTATTTCCAATTGGTAACAGTTTTTGAATAATATAATCAAAAAGTTAATGAATGTAGGCACAGTCATGTTAATTGTTAGGAAAATTGTGAAATATCGTTTTTAAAAAAGGCTTCATTTCATTTATAACAATCTTAATCTTCTTATCAAGCATATAAAGAAGTATATTATAGAATGTTTTTATTTTTAAGTTAGGAAAAATTCCTCGGTGGAATCAGTTGTTGGAGTGTAAACTAAGATTTTCATGTTTAACCCATAATAGTTAATATTTGAATTGTTGGTAGTTTGACTTAATTTCTTCTTGTGATTTTATTCTTGCTTTAATAATTTATATATGCTGTAAGATTTATGAGCATCATAATAATTAACATATTTAAAAATGAATATTGAGAGCACCAGTTATAATAGCGGTTTATATACTATGATGGAATTTGAAATTATTCCAATCTTTTTAACTATCCATTATATTTAGTGGTCTGATTGACCAAATTACTTATTTCAATTAATTATTCTTTGTATGTAAGGTCTTGGTTAAAATGAAAAATTTAGTGCCGCAAGCGGGATTCGAACCCATTACCTTGGGCTCAAGGGCATTCACTGCTGCTCTGTCATGGGTTCGAATCCCACTCGTGACACTAAATTTTTCTTTTCAACCAAAATCTTACATACAAAGAATAACTTCTTAATGATGTTTATCTTATTCAATGTACTTCAACAAATTTGGCAACTTTTTCATGTTTTCTATTTGTCATTTTCTCTCCATGTGTTCCTTGATTTTTTCGCTGTTTTTATTTATGCTACATGCCCTGCTCGTTTTTATTTCTGCAATTTAATTTTCAGCCTGCTGAGTATACTTTGAAATCACATGTGTTGGCCGTAGTGATGCGAACTAAAACATGTCTCACGTATTACAATAGCTCATTCTACATTTCGATAGTACTTTTTGTTTGTACACATATAATATAATCATGACTGTGGTAAATTATTGAAATTTACAAATCCACCAAAATCGTTATAATATTTCTTGATAATTTTGAATCTTTCCAACAGTAATAAATATCTGGCTGACCTTTAAACCAAACCACTTAAAAATTGAAAATGTTATTTATGGCCATATGACAATCATGAATTTTTTACTTTTTCAGATTGTGAAGATGGTCTCTGAATGAGGTGTCTAACATCACATAATTTGCCAAAACATTTTTTGGGTTCCAATCTGGAGTTCACAATCACAATGTCATCTCCAAGTGCAGGTAAAAGGCGGATGGACACAGATGTGATCAAATTAATCGAAAGCAAGCATGAAGTGACGATCTTAGGTGGGCTGAATGAGTTTTGTGTCAAGTTTTACGGGCCCAGGGGGACGCCATATGAGGGCGGCATATGGAAAGTCCGTGTCCACCTCCCTGAACATTATCCTTTTAAATCCCCTTCAATCGGTTTTATGAATAAAGTTTATCACCCGAACATAGATGAGGTGTCAGGAACAGTATGTCTAGACGTGATTAACCAAGCATGGACTGCACTCTACGATCTTTCAAACATATTCGAGTCCTTCCTTCCACAGTTGCTTACCTATCCAAATCCCATAGACCCTTTAAACGGTGACGCCGCTGCCATGTACCTTCACAAACCTGATGAGTATAGGAAAAAAGTTCAAGAGTACGTTCGCAAATATGCCACAGATGAAGCGATACGAGAACAAGATCTTCAAGGTGTTTCGTCCGACAGTGAATCTTCAATGTCGGATTTTAGCGAAGATGAAGCACAAGATATGGAACTATAAACTGAACACCTCTCCAGGTTTTTGTAAACCGAACATGTGCGTTTTGTCCATAATATCCATAATTGTAATTCTGTGGTAAATTAAAAACAAAATTTATACATCAAATGTAGATATTTTTATGAATATAGACTTATTTTTGTGTGATATAAACTTATTTTTATATACATACACATACACACATGGTGTATATGTGTGTACGCTTACACACCCGTGTGTGTGTGTCTGTCTGTTAAAATCATGAAAAAAAATTGCTTATTTAAATCAACCATTTTATGATTGTTATATTGTTTTTCACATAACACCTATTAACAAAAAACAGTGAGAAAGAGAGAGATGTGATATTAATTTATCAATTTTTTTGTGCAAATTTACTCAGCTGCAGTTTTTAAGGTGTGTTTCATAAATAAAAAACAAACATACAAATGAAATAAAAAACAAAAAATAAAATAAAATAAAAATAGTGTAACATTAATATTGTTGTTTTATTGTTATTTTTATAATATTTTAACTTTTTTTCTTTAGCAACTGTATTTAACACACAAGCCTCCACACTCCTATATGTAGGAACAGATCAAAAGTATTGTATTTATATTGAATAAATTTGGGAGTATTCAAACAATTAATTTTTTTAATGGATATAAATTGATAATGTTAAAATTATTGTAGATGAATATAATATTTCAACATAGAAATTTTAATTTAGTTCGATAAGAATTTATAATTTTCTGTTATGAATGACTCAAATTTTTAAAAGAAAAGTAATTTAAAAGTAAAATTAACCTACATAATCAAACTTGTTTTTAATCGTTAATATCAAGTTTAAGCATATTTTGTCAAGGAATGAAGAAGAAGAAAATAGTTTATTATGTACAACTATAGTTTTGTATTTTGTTCTTTGTAGATGTAGAGTATTTTGTACCGATTTTTTTCTTACAGCAAAACAAGATCTCATATTGTTTTTATTTTTGATAATTTTTTTTTTAAAATAAAGTTATAGCCATTTAAAAAAAAAAGATTTTAGTCTCTTGTTTCAGAATTTTACGAGCAAATTTCACTAATTTGTGGTTGATAATATTATTAAATTGAAAGATTTTTACTCCATTGTTTCAATTAATTATTAAAAATAGATAAAACATTGTATTTAGGGAGAAATATTGATGGTAGGCATTTAAAAAAATAAATATTTGTATGTGGCCTGTAACTTTTATAGAATTTACGATAACCAGAATTTTAAGTACAGAAAAGGTTCAAGTTTTCACAAAACTTACAAAAAATACATCACTGAAGGCTTGCAACACCTTTCTGCACCGTACTAACACTGTAAAATGACTTCCTTCAAATGTTTTCCTGTGTGACAACCTAGTCGGGGATTTTCTTCCCGTACGCAGCCTTCTTAAACCCGTCAATCAGTGTTTCATGTTTGAATAAAATTGACAATCATGTCGATAAAAACGTTTATCCAGGAGCGACGACCTTTTCCATTTATTTTAAATATTTATATACTTATTTTAAAATAAAGTTATTTAGTCAGTTTTTATACTTGTCGATAAAGTGAAAAGTAGATGTTAGATTTAAAATGTTTATATATTTTGACACCAATGCTTTGTTGTTTTTGTTTTTCAACAATGGTAATTTTGTTATATTGTTAAACAAAAGGATTAAAACTTTTTTTAAAAATTGTAATGTAGTTTAAAGAAAGACGCATTGAATGTTAGCAGTCTGTAAATATATATTTACACGAGAGTGACAATATAGTACAAAAAACATATAATAAATTTATATAAGAATGTATTCTTAAATAGATAAATAAAACAATATGAATACAATACTGTTTATTTACATTTGTTCTCTCTCTAAATAAGTACAAAAACATTTTTGACTATTTTTTCTCAATGGAGCTTATCACATTGTACATTTAAATCGTGTCACTTTTGTCTCTAGCATTTATTTTTATGTATATATAAAAAATAAATAGTTTCTTTTTTTAATCATCATATTGTGTAAAACCTCATAGATATTTTACAACCATTTTCTTTTTATACAAGTTTTTCTTCTTTATTATTGCTTACATATGCTCAAATATAAACTAAAATGATTGCAGTGGAAAGTAATAGAAAAAAAGTGAAAGAAAATACAGTGGATATATGCAAGAAATAATAACATACAAGAAAGAAAAATTATATGTGTGTAAATAAAACAAGTGGAACGCCGCAACTTAGTACTTAGTAAGATACGTTAAGGGAATGACAATTTTTTAAAAAATAAACTATCTTTTTATATAAAAACTATTAATTGCAGAAAAGAATTTAAAAAATTAAATACCTAATTGTTTAGTTTATTATGTTTATTTACTCTGCCTGTCTTTTTTTTTTTTTAATCTAACATGAATAAAAACTACATTTATTCTAAATCGATTTAAAATTTGTAAATATGGAAATAAAGAAATAAAACTTATCTTAATGAACTGCTGTACATTTTGTATTTATATTTTTTTTTTGAACACCTTACTCAAGGGATTTGAAAAAAAAGAGTTAAATTTTTGAGGAAAAACACATCAAATCCTGGTGAACTTTGTTACAAAGTACTAGTAATTTAGTGCACCCAAATCAGGTTTAAACATACCAAAATAATAGTTTCTCTATAATAGATAGTAAAGCCCCAACAACTAGTCCATATAGAGATGATAAAATTTTTTTAAAATCCATAGAAATTCAACATATAGTACACAACAATTAAAGGGACGACACATTATCAAAATTACATTTTTTTAATTCGAAAATCTTTTGTCTGTCTTAACACATCAGTATTACTTTTGAAGACTAGCTCCATAATTTTTATATAAAACTAATTTTGACTTAATTTTATAAATAATTAAAAGCTTTTTTCAGCTATTACAATCTATCAGTCATTAGAAAAAATAAATGATTAATTATAAATGCAATTGTTACTCCAGAAAGGCAGTTTTGATAGTGTTTTAAGTCACATCCCTCGTAAGAACGTATAAAATATTGGGATTACGGTTTGTGACATACTCAATATATCACAAAACACTGGAGTTAAAAGTATCACAATATTCAAGCTAAAATAGAAACATCTGACATCACTCAACATTAAAAATAAATTACTAGAAACTAGTAATATATTTTTTTAAAGTTTACAATAGATTATGTTTTGCATTGCCAATGAGGTGCATATTTTGATAATAATCTATCTGTCATTGAATAGACTATTATTGGATTCTTTATCAACCTTATTTTTATTTATTTTATTTTTTTAAGAAACCTGATGCCTGCTTTACACTATACTCAGTCTTAATAGTGTTTTTTCAAGGCAAAAATATCCGACAACAGATATATTTAGACCAGGCCAACAAATCAGTAACGATCAGAAGGGTACATTGCTTAAAATTAACAGTGATAATAAAAATATCACTGAAGTGTCACAGAATGACTTGCAAGATTTGTTTGGATCGTTCAGTTTTGGATCGCCTGTCGGGGTGCCTTTTTTCTTAGGCTCTTCCACAGCGGGACAGCCCATCCAGTGAGGGCCGGACGGAAGAGGTGTGTCGTTAAAAACTTTCATTCTCATGTCATTGAATTTCCAGAAATTTTTCCCTTTGAAGAAGTATGTCAATCCTATATATATATATAAAAAAAATAAAAAAAATCATTTAGAAAATAAAATACAATTATAATTTTAAAAAAATACTGACCATCTTTCCACTGTAATGCAGCATCGATATTGTAGTCAATTCCCCTCCAGACGTTCCTTATATCTCTAGGATAATCCAGCTCAACAGTGCCTTTTTCGTCATCAAGCCTCCAGTACACTGTTCCACTGAATAGATACGTCTTGCTGTTGTAACCCCAGACAAGGGCGGCATCGATCTTCTCGAGATCCTGAGGAAGACCGAGCTTCATAAGAGGAAAAACATCTATGAGGACTGAGCCATCATAAATATAGTAGTTACGACCTGAAAGATTTTTTTTTTTTCAATCATTTTATGCAATCAAATATCAAACAATTTTACCTATAAAGAAAATTATATTTCTGTCCTGTTTTTCATAAACTGCATCTATGTGTGTAAAATTAGAAGGAAGATCATTCCACAGCCTAGATATAAGGGCAGGGTAACCAGGGAGTAAACCATGATTATCAAACCTCCAGAAATACTGAAAATACAAATAAGTATGTAAATAAAAAGCAAAGCATAGAAACATTTTGTTCTTTCAGGACTCATTTTTCCATTAATTGCTACTAAAATATGTGTTAGGCCTTAAGTTTACATTATTGGTCAATTGTATTGTTTTTTTTTTTTTTTTTTTTTTTAAAGTTATTTATTTAAAGAAGTTGTTGAACTCTCCTGAAGACACTGCAGAATGCACAGCCTTTTATGTCATTTACATCTATCTATGTGATAGTGCCAGTATAGTTATAGTGTTATACAAACCTTTCCTTTAAACATGAAGAACTCACTCCGCAGAATTGAGAGGGCATCGAAAGAAGAATTGCATCCATCTGGTTTGTCTACTTTTGGGGTGGGTGAACTTGTTGGTGGAGGAAGTGTTGTTGTTGTTGTTGTCGTCGTCGTCGTTCTTCTGGTTGTTGGTATGTAAGCCGGAGTCACCTTTTTGGGCGGTCTGTATGGCCATCTGATGGGTTTATCACCGTAAACCTTCCCCCAAAGACGACTTTTTGCCCCTAATAAAAAAAAATCAATAAAATACCAAATTAATTTCATAATTTTACATCACGTGTTTCAAAAATTTGTGTATTACTACCATAAATTTGTTGAATCCCGTGCATGTCATCTTCAGGCAGTTCAAAGTCAGAGCTTATTCTTTTGTACCAAGGGTACATTAGTGCGCCACGCACTGATGAATGTGATAGGCCCAAAGAATGGCCAAACTCATGAGCTGCTACGGCGAATAAGTTCGTCCCTTTGGATAAGAAGTCAGTTTACTAATTTGTTCCAAAAGATCAGTATGGGATGATTCTCTACCTTCTTCCTGTTCCTCATCGCCGGTTAGAATCCACATCTCTTCAATGTCAAAATGGACGTCCCCGCCGCGGCCATCTCCCGGAAAAAAAGCATGGGCTAGTATTTGACCTATCCCGTCGAAAGGAAACCCATCGCCATGATCTCCTCTGAAAAATTTGTTTTTTTATGATATTAAAGCTAATGTTTTAAGTGTTTTTGGATTATTTGCTCACGGAAAATTGATTCATTCCACCTGATCTTTGTCGAATAGTCAGTTTTCAATGTCAAAAAATACATTTAATTTCTGTACAGTCCTACATTCAAAAATTTATAGTGAATTTTGCACTTGTACTAAATTTTAATTATACTGAATTTAAATTGTTTATAAACTATATAAAAATTCTTGTTTTTATATAGTTAGTCGTTCTGCTTTCAGATAATATAAAAACACTTCTTTCACTTATACTTCTGACAGATAAATAATAATAAATGTGAGATTTCATTGAACCGCTATGGTAATTTTTGATCATTTTGGCCTGCCTATACTGGGTCTGTCAGGTGCATTTTTGCTTTTCGCCATTTTTTCATGCCTTGCCCTGCTTATAACCCTGATTAGTCAATAAAAATGGCAAGAGCCAAAATGTGGTTGACAGACCAAAACAGCACAATGCATTAAAAAAAAAAAAAAATGACACTAAAAGTTTTCATAGAAGTAATTTTACCTATTAAATATTTTTAATATTTTTTATGAAAGTAGATGGAATAGAACTAAGACAGAAGATTAATGCAATGCTAATTTAAATTAATTTTTAATATAGGTGAAAGTGATTTTACATACTTTTGGAAATAGATGAGTATATCGGCTTTATCGCTGTTAATTTCTCTGAAAGACAAGTTGGAATGTTTGGACCACAGGTTGAGAGCCCTGTAGAGATCCGCTCTGATCCTGCCATAGTCTATGGTATTTCGGAAACTGCGCGTTCTCAAACTGCAAACACAAAAACATACAATTTGATTAATTACAAGAAAATACTTCACTAAAATTAAACTTAAACTAATTTAGAAAGTGAATAAATCTCCTCACAGTTTCACATATAGACCTAGGAGATAAATTACTACTTGCATGGAAATTTCACTCCCGAGCGTTGCAAGATATTGAATTGGAAAAGTCAGGATGTAATCAGCTAAGAAACTAGAATAATTAGTTAGAGAACTTCAGAAAAAGAAATATATAGAAATGAAATGATTAAAAATCTCAAAGTTTGTCCCAAAAGACCTGAAATTCCTAAAGAGATTAAAGAAAAAGATATACCACCAAAGGAAATGATGAAATTAAAATTAATGTAAAAAGTAAAGGGATGAGAGACTAGAGAAGGTTTGAACAAATATAAAATAAATTTTTTAACATTTTATAAAAGTTAACATAAAAAAAAGTATTACAGAATAGTAAATTTACGTTTTGTCGCAAGCTATAAAAAAGTAAAAAAAAATTCATTTTTATTGCAAATTTAATCTGGATTGAGTAATAAAAGATAACTGATGAAGTATCTGAGTGTTTTCTTTTCTTTCAAATTAGCCTTATCCCTGATTTCTTAATACAAAATTGGATTTATTAATGGAAACTAGTTTAAATGCATTGTAGTATAACAACGAATTTTTAGAAAATGTATTATGTTAATAGCAATTAAATTAATATGACCAATAATATATTACTAATTGAATTAACTGACAAAAGAAATATTTTGAGATCTTTAAGTAGAATTGAGATTTACAAAAAAGTTTTGAGTTGTAAAGATGATGTTACAGTTATTGTATCGATCATCAGTAATATTTTCGTATTGTATCGTTGATTATTCATGAACCTTCCAATTATCATTCAATGGAATCTAAATTTTCAAATATTAAATAAATATAAATAAACTTTGGAGTATTTTTTAGCATAACTGAAATTTCCAAGTATCGTTGATTATTTATGAACCTTTCAAGTCATTGAGCGGACACAAAATATCCAAATATTATGATTATAAAAGAAATTTTTGATTATTTTCGAATATAAATGAAATTTTCAACTTTCATTGATTTTTCATGAACCTTCCAAGTATCATTGAGTAGAAAAGAAATTTTAGAATATTCTTGATTATAAATAAAACTTCCAAGTATAGTTGAGCATGTTTGAAATTTTCCAGTATCGTTGATTATTAATGAATGTTCCAAGTCTCATTGAGAGGAAACAATTTCCAAATGTTATGATTATAATTGAATTTTTTTAATCATTTTTGAGTATAAATTAAATTTTTGAGTATTTTTTTTTAGCATAACTGAAATTTCTGAGTATCGTTGATTATTTATGAACCTTTCAAGTCATTGAGCAGACACAAAATTTCCAAATATTATGATTATAAAAGAAATTTTTGATTATTTTCGAGCATAAATGAAATTTTCAACTTTCGTTGATTTTTCATGAACCTTCCAAGTATCATTGAGTAGAAAAGAAATTTTAGAATATTATTGATTATAAATAAAACTTCCTGTTGAGATGATTAAAATTTTCAAGTATCGTTGATTATTTCATGAAATCCTTCCAGTTATCATTGAGCAGACACAAAATTTCCAAATATGTAGATTGTAGATGAAAATTTTTGTTAAAAATATAAATGAATCGGCCAAGAATAATTTAGAATAAATGAAATCGTGAACTTTGCTGATTGGTCTGTCTATCTTCAGTGGAACGTTCTGTCAGATGTATTTTGGCAACTTGACAACTTCAGCATGTCTTTCACAAACAAAACATTCACCCAAAGAACAGTAAGGATAAAATTACAGGTTCAACACTCCACAGAGCAAAGGAGGAAAACTCACAATAAATTAAATTTTTAAATAGCCATTATTGACCATATTAATTAATCCAATTATTATTTTTACCTAAGGTTTTTGATTGAGATGAAAAATTAGTGTCATGAGCAGAATTCAAACCCACGACCTTCGGCTCAATATGCCGTTCCTCTAACCACTTGAGCTACCGTGACTTCGATCCCCTCGGACACCAACTCCTCATCTCAACTTAGCTTTCGAATTTTCTTTCCCTCTGTTTGTCTTATTTTTGAATGTCATGTATCAGGATTCGATTCTCAGCGAATTATGAAACGGCCACTACGAGCTGTTAGTGAAGAAAATTACTTCATTTAATTATTAATTAATACATATTTGCTTAGTGGTCATAATTGCATGTTAATTATTCCAATTAATTATTCTTTTTAATCTAAGGTTTTTGGTTGAGATGAAAAATTAGTGTCACGAGCAGGATTTAAACCCACGACCTTTGGCTAATTTTTCATCTCAACTGAAAACCTTAGATAAAAAGAATAATTAATGGTTATTTTTTAAATAGCATTGAGTATATCTAGCAAGATTTAATTGACAATCGATATGCTAAAATTTGACGTGACTTTCCCTTTGACAAATGTAAAATTTTGAAGATTTTTTTTGGGTAGCAGGACATGAACACATTGATGACACGACAATGTATTATGTAATTCTGCAATTTTTGAAAAATGTATGTTTGTAAAGTATTATTTCAGTAAGAAATAAAACTATTAATATAATATATTTCAAACTGTTCACAAGTGTGGAATGTGGCATAATTTCTTCATTTGATCCATCAGTTAACTGTCAAATTGACCCATTAGCAATTATTTTGTTATGCGTCCAAAATCGTATTTTTAGTATCGTTTTGCAGTTGATTTTGAACCAATTGCTTTCAGAAGTTCGTCTTCCTTCCAAAAGTGATTGATTAGATTACTTTTTGTTGTAGAACATCTAGGAAATTTCCAAGAATTTTAAATAAAGCTGAGAAGAAGATCAAAAGACACGCCAAGGTGGATGAAGTATGCTTGTCTAAAGGGGAGAAGGACAATTTAATCATTGTCGCCAGGTAATTTCCGTAAAAGTAGCGATGTTAATAAGAGACGATGGTGATTAATATGACCATCGGGGACAAATTGAGATGTTGTTAGCAAGGCGTAAAAGAAGTTTTAACGTGCAATAAAGAGGCGAGCCTTCTACGTCTAGATTGCAGATTGATCTGTGCAGACGGCCGACGGACCCAGCGGCGCCTTCCTCACTTAATTCTAAGCTGTAAAATGGATCGTATTCGCCGATCAATATCGGCGTATATACGGTGTGGACACAGTTTAACGCAAGGGAAATTTGTTTCCTTAAAAAAGTGTTAATGTCTATAGTAAGTATATAGTAACTTAGATTTCACTTTATGAAGATCAGAAAATAGTTGTCAAGTTAATTTTCAACTTAACCGGTTTCATTTCGACGAGAAATTACGATTTAGGATCGTAGTAAAGATGCTGGAAAACGTCTAACTGAAACGATTAATAGAACATGCGGTTAGAATAAAGTTTTCCACGAGTTTTGCCGATCCATTTCCTTGATCCGGGTCAGACAATTCATTAGTACAACTGTCTAGACTAGGATAAAGAAGAATTTAAGTCTTTCCCACTTAGGAAGAAGTTTACTATAGCTGATCAAATTCATCTTATTTTTTTATTCTGGTTGAATTTTAAGCTTCAAATGAAAACAACCCGCAGTAATACGTTTGCAAATCAAAATCATTTTCCCAGAAATTTTGGTATGGTCGCCTAACTAGGACACTAAAACTCTAAGGCTCTGTGAAAAGAGCGTAATTAAAGATAAAGATGGATCAGGACGGTTGATGATTAAGTTGAAAAAAGATTTCAGACATGTTGGCAAAGAACATGGTGTAGTGACAAAAAAGACAAGCTAAAAACTACAGGTAAGGCAGATCATTTGCAGAAATTTCTGTGGTCATCTACTGAATTAAAAGTTATAAAAAACGAGCAGACAAAGATGATCTTAGTTTTTCCAAAAATAAATCATAGTTATGTAAACCATAAATACGAGATTTTTCTTACATTTACAGGAACTGGGACATTGCTATCTACTTGGCTATTAGTCTGTGTGATCAGGTACAAACATTTAAGGAAATTATGGAAGGTAATCAATGTTCTTAAAGTTTTCATTACAAATGTTTGTTAGGTTGTGGTTTTAGGTTTAGGTTTTGGTTACTAGGAGTCAGCTTCTTTATGATTTTGGGAATGCGTCCAATATTATTGGTCTGTTGTGCAATCGCCATCATTATCCAGAGTTCTTCGTTTTCTCAGATCGCTAAGATTTGTCAGGCCTTGGGGTTTCCTCTGTTACGAGAAGGAATATTCCTATAGGCCTTTGCACCATCTGAGGACATGTCACTGTGTTTCTTCTTCTTCCTACCAATATCACTGCAGGCATGTTTCTGCTGCCCTAAGTATAAAAGCGCCTCTGGATCTGCACTGTTTAGTCGGCAGTACTATCTTCTATTCTAAGCCTTAGTTTCTGGGGCTGTCTTCTGATGAGCAACCTCTCTCCTAGAAAACATTAAACCGAGGACTCATTCTTAATACATTGCCTGATGGATGTTTCTGGTAATTTGTTAACCGAACAAGTGTGATTTTGTCGTTGTACTCAGTGTGGGACATGTGGGGCGTTACGTAGTCCCAAACCGTTCTGAATTTTACTACTGATGAGTGGCACCTTTAGTGTCACCTGGTTGTCTGAGGTATGGCTGGTCTTTGGTAATACTCAGCCTTTTGATCTTCATGGCAAAGTGTTCAATAGCCATAGACACACCGCCTGAAGTATAGTGGCTTTATATGAATCCTAGACCTTGGTTTATTTTCATAGTTACCAGCTCCTGCCAGCATACTTGGTCTTGCAGTTATCTGCTTACCAGTATATACCAGTCCCAGTCTGTTCTATCGGTTATTTTGATTTGAAATTTAAGCCGAGGATTTATTCTTAACCCATTGTCTGTCGGATTAACGTTTCTGGCGATTTGATATGCCGCAAAAGGGTTCAAGACCGATGGTGTCCTGATTGAACTTTCCTTGGAAAATTTATCAACTTTGTTGCTCCTCTGCC